TGTTGGTGAGACTCACAGACTATCGTGGAAGCTAAGACTCCTAGCTCACTGGTCAATACCTATCGGTAGACATTTCAATGTAGATATGTAGATATGGAGCTGAATCACATCAAAGACTCACTTCAAAACACGCAGGTGTTTAGTGAATCCCTCCTAAAATATCCAAAGCATCCACACTGGGATGGCAGATACAATAGTTCATTGATCAAAAGCCTGCACTCTTCCAGACTGGCAGCTGGAGGCCAGGTGGGATACCTTAAGGCATCTCAAGTAGCACTAGATGCTGACACACAGGCAGAGGAATCAAGCAATCTTTGCTCCTGTTCTGCATAAGGAGGTAAGAGTTCTCACCTCAGTGACTTGCTCTGAAGATGAATATTTAACCAAAACTTTGAAGATGGAAAATAAGACAAAACAGTTAGGGCAGAAGATTGAATTGATATTGCTAGGGCTGCTGGGAGTAGAGCAACATCCAACTTGATGTTTAAAATGCAAGTCCTTCCCATTTGAACACAGTTTAAATGATCCCATATAATGTATTTCAGTTAAACGCTTACTACTTACCAGCAGCATTAGGTAGCAACATGAAAACCTGCAACTCGAACACTTAAGCATATATTTGTTTTCACAAGCAGTGGAATGAATGACTGAATGTATCATAAATGATTCAATATTTCTTCTTTCAGAATGATGTTTTCTTAGCATCTGTTCAAAGTACTCTGTCATCAGAAATATTTAGGAGTTGAAATTTGGCCTTTAAAATTCATTCCCTGATGAAACCGGCATGAAAAAAACAGCAGAAATCACTGAAACATTTGTATACAGCATGTTAGAAAGAGTATGCAGTCTATCAATCTGTGCTGATAAGAATGAAAGTATTTTTCTCATCCACAATGTGAAAAACAGAGCTGTTTAACTTTACATTTGTTTGTGAGCCAAAACCTTTGAATCCCTCCATCTCAGAATGCAGATGGCAGTTTTATCTTCTTATCTGCTGGTTCAGGCTGGTACAGAGACTGAAAAGGAAATAGTAACACTGCCTGCACAGGTATCTTTGCACATGCTTTTAATTCATAAAACTGTAAATTATGACATGTTGCCAATCATTTGAAATTTCATAACTCTGAACAACCTGTTAGGAACCAATAAGTTATAAGCCTTCAAATATTTTCCTCAGAAAATATTTCCCACACTGTTAAAATAAAGCATAAAACTAATTCCTGAAACTTTTACCTGTCTGAGCAACTTCTACTCATATAAAAAGTATAGAACTTGACTATAGGAAGTGGAGGTGCTGAATACCTTTATTTCCACTTAAAATGTCACTAGACATCTCCTTTAAAATAAAATTATTTTTGGTAAGGAAGATGAATGCGCTTAGCTCCTCAAATGCCAGCTCTAAAGGAAAGTTGTCTACATCCAGGTTTTGTATTTCAGCTGGCTAATATTTGACAATTAATTGTCTTGTTTTGCTTTTCCGTGTAAATTACATGAGTGAGAAGGAAACTAATGGCTATGAGAAGCTGGTGACAAGCACAGTACAGTGAAGGTGGCAGTCAGCTTCCTGCATGGCTCTGATAACACACCTGAATCATGAAAAGAAACACTCTGCATGTTCAGCTGATTATTTCTTTGTGGAAGAGATGCTGTGTATCTCCACTTATGCCAAACTGCTAGGCTGCTCCCTGAGAGTTCATTGCTTTGAAGTGAGACGCTAGTCATGGATTATCCATCCTCTTCATATGTTGGAGTATTTTAATAAAGCCTTCCCAAAACAGCAGTTGGGGGTAGAAAACTTGTAATGAAACCCCAGTCAGCAATCAGGGGTTTGTGATTGTTTTCAGGGTGGCCAGGTTTTGCTCTAACACTGTACCTCCCATTGGATGTCCTATTAAGATAGTGGGATCTTTTTACATTGTCCTCAGTGGACTCTGGCGCAGTTACATGTTTGAACCTTGGTACTGGAAAACGGACTGAAAAGGCCATAAGATTAATTGTTTTCTGAGTCTTGACATAAGAAAAAGCAATGTGCTCTAATTCCCCTTCCACACTTTCATACCTCATCTTTTATTGATACTCAGCCAGGTGTTAGGTTAATTTTGCATCAAAACAGTAACTTCAAAGAGTAATGGGGCTTCTAGATCTTTAAAAAGAATAAAATGAAACAGAAAAAGAGAAAACTGAGCTGATTTTCTCTGTCCACTGCCACTGGGCTCGCTGCCCATTTCTTGTCTTTTATTTTTTAATTTGTTAATTCTAATGAAAAAGGGTTTGCATGGCAAGTTTAGGAGGCTTTGGCAATACAAAGCTTAGGACAATCTCATTTTTTATAAAAATGAACAAAGAGCACCCACTCACTCTAAGATTGTTCAATGGATACTGTAAATGAATGAGACATTTATTTTTGTGCCAGCTCAACTACCAGTGTCGACAAGATTTGCATATATTTTGGCAAGTGCACTGCACAAGGTGGTAATAAAATAGGCCTTTTATATTTGAGCCTAGTTTACTTTAGTTATACTCATTAAAAATGTGTTTTCATGTGAAAGGGATTTCTGTAAGGGATACTTTGGAAACAGCAGCATCACAGAAATGTTTGCTATATAGCCAGTATCAAGCATTTTTCCACTGAGAAAGAACATTTTTTTGAGAAGAAATTCCCAGGTTCTATGAATTTAAGATTCCTGGTTTGTTTTTTTTAATCACTGTTAGGCTTAACATTGCAGGCTTAAATATCATGCTTATTACTTGCTGCTACCAGCTGTATGTTTTTTAAGTAACACAAAATATGGAATTAAAAAAAAATCAAAACTCACTTTGCATGTTTTGCCATCTTCAGTGACATTACCTACCCAGAGGCTACTCACAGGAAGGCAAAAATGTGCTTTTACCCTATGAAGCATTATTCAGGGTAAAATCTTTTTCACAAGTAGTGGTGCTGGTATGGCTGAAGGTGTGATTTTAAATCAATTTGCTTTAAATGTGTAGAAAATTGTGCAAGCAAAATGCTTCATGAGCAGTACTTTGGTTTTAACAGGCTCATACCATTATATTTTATTACGCATTAGGAACGTGCTTGAACTAAACAAACCAAAAAAAGCAACAAGAACAGCGCATTTAAGCTCAGTAAGCTTAATGAAGCAGGTTCAAGACTATGTATTTGTCAGACCTGAATAAAAATATCTGCCCAGTGTCACACGAACATACACTGAAGGATTAGGTTTATGGTTTTAATGTATTTCTTAAGTCTTTGGTTTGCTCCTGTTTAAATTGTCTTGACAAGATATTGGACTGCTAATTCAAATAAGAGAAGAGCAATGAAAAGAATCCTGTCTTTCTTTCAGTTACCTTGCCTCCTTACTGAAGAAAAAAACGCAGAGGATCTAGCTTCCCCACCACAACAATACAGAGCATCTATAATACTGAAGCCATTTCCGAAGAATTAATGTAATTTTTCTTCAGAGATAATAATGTCTCTTTGAGACAAATGCATTTCAGGCATACATACCATTTTCATATTTTAATAATATGAAAATAAATGAAAAAAAGGTGATTAACCACAAAAGCTTTGACAGGCTGAATTAATGTTTCATGAAACACAGCTATCAAACTGTACATAAACAGAAAATACTCTAACCTGAAAAAATAGCTATTTCTTATAGGTAGAATGGCAAAATCTGGGCATTATATTAATACTCTTACTTAGGCAAAGCAGAACCAATATCTATAAGAAGCTCCAACATTTCAATAGTCTCAAGGTGAAATAATGTGCCAGTCACAGAGAGAAAAATCAAAACCTGCCTCAAATTGCATTCCCTACTTTTAAAACAGGTATCAGCTGCCGCTGCCCTTGCATTAGCTGAAATACAATTGCCTTTGCCAGTGATTTCAAGAAGTACAGCATAAACTCTCATTTATGATTTTGAAGTGTACTAATTTTGGGAAGTATTATGACATGTTAGACAAGATAGCCAGCACCCAAGTATTTGTGAAATATGCATTTCTTATAACTAAAATAATATTTAGCTTTATAATTAAAATTCTAGGAGAGAGAGAGAATAAGTTATTATGAAAATATATAGCTTTAATTTGCAGACATATAAACACTTTTGGTACATTACAGACATATGATGCCAGAAATCAAAATAATCAGTTTTAAGCATAACACTAATTTATCTTGTTCACACAGAGAAATTTGATGTCATCATCATACAAAAGATAGTTCTCAGCTCTTAAAATGAAGTGAAAGTGATACATCACCAATAAACCTGCTGCTTTGTTGCAGAGGATACAGCAAAGAATAAATTATCAAGAAAATATGCCACCAGTCTTACAAGTTAGATTTTGGACTAGATCCAAAATCAAAGCCAATGAAAAGGAGCCAGGAATGGTCGCCAAAAGTCAGAAACAAGATCCTTCACATGAAATACCAATCCAGAAAGGAGCAACAGTCAGAATAAACTAAGTCCTATAATTCCTTAGAATATGAAGCGATTTTTGTTTTCATCTGGCAGATCAGATTCAGAAGTATCACATGAAAAAATCTATTACACAACCAAACTGATGGAGTACTACTGACAGATTGGTCAAAGTACAAAAAACATCACCACTTCTGTGACAACTAAAGATTTAGCCATTCCCTTGCTTCCTTGCATCTGGCATGTTTACGAGGATGAGCATGGGGTTCTGTCATTATTTGCTGTAGGAAACATTAAATATAATTTTCCATAAAAATGACCAGCAGATTGCTGGAGCAAATGATAATGTGGGTGAAATCTGGAGCAAATGAAAGATGATATGTCACAGCAGTTCAGATTCTCATTACAATATCTTGCATTCTTGCTCAACAGGAATTGCACTTCTTGTTAATGCCTCTTCTATCCTACTGTATAAGCTTTACTTGTGAGGTAATAAACATTCTTTCTTTTTTTTTATTATTACTAGTGCATTTTAACGTCTTTATTCTTTTAATTATACATACATCGGAACAGACATTTCTTTTTTTTAGGGTTAAACGTCTGTATGCCAACGTGTATTTTATATTAAAACCAATATATTTAAAATATACTCTGTGTTTATCTCATGGACAGTACCTCGAACAGTTCCCTGCTCAGGAGCATCTGATGCCCTCTTGTGGTTAAAAGACTTTTAAAACTTGAGTTTAAAGAATCATCTTACCTTCCCCTTTTTTATGATCACTGATCTTACTGATTTATGAAAGCTGCAAATGATGTCCATGTTTTTATAGAGAGGGTGCTAGCTGTTAGTACTAAGGTTTCATAAAAAAGCTGTACACTGAATTTCAATTTAAAAAACTGTAAACAGCTATTTACAATTATAATATTATTAAGTTATAAATTAGTGGTCCTTCATTGCAACCTCCGTCAATACAACCCATGGCTAGGTGTTTCAGAGCTGTCCAAGGTTTTTAAGATGTTGAGTTTATCCACAAAGTAACGTCAAATGTTAGAAATCTCCATCGGTTTCTTCTCCAACATGTGCAGGTTAATTCTTCCATTTAATGGGATTTGTACTTCCACGTTTTCATCTGCTCTGTGATGCTTTTTTCCTTTTCTTAGACAGATGTAAATCCCCATCCCTGTTACTAAAGCAATTGATCCCAAGCTTATTATTGACAGAGCTACCAAGGTAGGCATGCAGGATGCTGACTCCATTTTTTTATGTGTAGGCTCTATGGATATTTGCGGCTGCTTTTCTTCTATACTGATATCAGGCTCCTTTCTTAACAAACTTTCAATGTAGCTCTCATTGCTAACAGTGTCATTGACAAAAAGGTTCACCATGACAGTGGAATGGAGAGGTTCTGGATAGCCGTGATCACTAACTTTTACAAGCAGCCGATAGAGGCCGTAGTCATTTTGCATAAGTGACTCTTCCAAGGTGATATTACCAGTTTTAGGGTCAATCCTAAATGACTCCGGTCGAGGGCCTCTTCTTCCTATGATGCTGTAAGCTATGACTGCATTCATACCAGTGTCCTTATCAACAGCATAGACCTCAGTGATGGGAGAGCCAGGAAGGGTAGAAGGAAGGACCAACAAATAAGACATATTAGATTGAGGAAACAAGACCAAAGGGGGGTTGTCATTTATGTCCAGAAGAAGGATAGTTATTTTTGCAGTAGAGGAGAGGGCAGGATCACCGCCATCAACTGCTTCGATCCACAGAACATAGGAGCTTTGCTGCTCCCTGTCCAGGGAAACTTTAGCTCTCAAAACTCCTTTTCCAGTATCTATGACAAAAATATCGCTTCCATTCAGAACGGAAAGGGCAACCCATCCATTTTGCCCTGCATCAGCATCTGTGACACTTATAACTCCGATTTCACCAAAACCTGGAAAGTTTTCTGGCACGAAAAAGCTGAAATCCTTATTGATAAATCTTGGACTATTGTCATTTTTATCCAATACAGTGATGGTGACAGTTGCTATTGATTCTCTTGGAGGGAACCCAGAATCTACTGCTTTGACAGTATATCTGTATTTCTCTTTTTCTTCTCTGTCCAGTTGGGTGGAAACTGTAAGAACTCCTGTGGCTTTATCTAAAGAAAAATAGGAAGGGGCATCAGGCCCTAAAAAATAGGACACTTGCCCTCTTTCTCCGCTGTCAGCATCTGTAGCATGCAGTTTGGTCAAGAAAGCATTGGGAACGTTGTTCTCCTCAATGGATAATTCTATCAGCTGTTGAGAGAAAACTGGAGAGTTGTCGTTGTCATCCAGAACCTGTACTTTGATTATTCTGTTGACATGAAATCCTTCTGAGTTCCACGCAACTACAGAGATTTCATACAGCTGCTGTGTCTCATAGTCCAAAGGCTTTGTGGTCTCTAACAGATATTCATTATTGTATGGCTTGTATGGTGAAAGTCTGAAAGGCCCATCACCATCCAAATAGCAATTGACTTTGTATTTTTCATCAGGGTCTTTGATGGTGAAAAATGCTATCGGTGTGTTGATAGGCTCCAGTTCCTTTAAGTACACCACCCCTTCTGCTTCATTAGCTATGAAACGAGGGACAACTTCAGGTGGCCTCATCATGACTTTGATGATTGTCACTAGCACTGTGATCACAGCAGGGATACAACCAGGACCGTTGCCCAGTATGATCAGCCTGTGGAGCCTTGGAGCGTCCCCATCAACTTTACTGGAGAGTGTGATGGTTCCTGTGCTTTCGTCCAGATGGAACAAGTCTCTGGATGGCTGGGGAACCTTCTGGCTGTAGGAGTAGGTGATCTGGGCATTGGATCCAAGGTCCATGTCTACTGCATGGACAGTGGCCACGTGTGTCCCTAGACTGGAATTCCCATAAAGAGTGACATTGAGCTGCGAGTCGCTGAACTGGGGGCAGTTGTCATTGATGTCACTGATGCCAATAGTGAGGGTGGCACTGCCCACAAGCGGAGGAGTCCCCCCATCCTCAGCAACGATGACTGTGACATACTCCTCCCGTGTCTCCCTGTCCAGAGACCCCATGACAATCAGGTAGGGAGTCCTCTCCCCGCTCTCATTCTCCTCCACATCCAGGGTGAAGACACCATAGTTATCTTGCAGGCGGTAGGTCTGGACACCATTGGTGCCCACGTCAGGGTCAAGGGCAGGGTGCTCGATAGCCAGGCGGGTGTTTACAGGTGCATTCTCGGGCACCGAGAGGCGGATGTGGGGCACAGGGAAGTGGGGTGCATTGTCGTTGACATCCCGGATAGCAATTTTTACCTTCACCAGGTGGAAGTACTCCTGCGGCAGCACCAGCACATCCAGCAGCAGCAGGCATGACTCGGATGAGGGTGAGGAGGAGACAGCAGCTGCCCCCCCAAAGACGGTGGCCCCACTGCTCTCCATGCACAGAGCTTCCCGGTCTATCTCCACGGCCGAGGTGTGCAGCTCTCCAGAGCGGTTGTCCAGCTGCACGTACTGTCCCCCTAAGCCACGGGAGGCTAGGGTGAAGGAGAGTGGGGGCTGGGGAGCCGCAGGGCGCTGCCCACCAGCCGTCGACAGCCGCAGGGCACGGGACAGGCTGCCTGTGAGCACCC